CCAGACAGACGCAGGTTAAGATCCTCCCTGGTAAGCCAGCTCGTGGGCTACACAGAATATTAGAAATGGGTTAGAACAATATGTAAGAGCTAGCCAATAAGAAGCTGGAACTAGCCAGGCCAGGCAGTGTTTGAAAGAATACAGTTTCAGTGTAATTATTTCGGGGCATAAGCTAGCCATGCGGGCGGCCGGGTGCCGGGGACGCAGCCTCGCCGCTCCTATTTCAACAATCAATGTGGATGAGCTATCATTTCTCTTTTCCGAGAGCTTTCTTTTCTTCAAACTGAACCTTTATTAATTTTGATTGTATCCACAATTTTTCTTCTTCTGTGGAAACAAGAGCAAACCCCTTCCCCAATGCAGCACATCTCCTGGCTTCCACTGTGAGGTCAGCACATCCTTGAAATAAACCAGGTGATTTAATTCAGCAGACTTTTCTATTATCCAATGTCTCTCTGCTGCTGTTGTCCCTCTCTCGTTAACATCAAGAAAATTCAAGGTTAATAAAGCATTATGTAATCTATTTCTGGGGGCATTTCCCACCCTTTCTGTTTCTTTATTATAATAAACAAAAAATCATTTCATTTTCCTAGAGACATAAGCTGGATCATTATCTGTCTTTATTTGTGCAGGTATACCCATGATGGCCATAACTTCTAATAAATGTGTGATTACAGAATAAGCCTTTTCTGAGCTTAAAGCAGTTGCCCATTGAAAGGCTGAATAAGTGTCAATGATGTGATGTACATATTTTAACTTTCCAAATTCTGCAAAGTGGAACACATCAATCTACCAGATTTCATGCCTTTGGCTTAGTCCCTGCAGGTAGCAGTGCTTGGTTATAAAAGAGCAAGTAGGACATCTCTTTATAATCTCCTTAGCTTGTCATGTAATAGAAAACTCTTTCTTTAAATCTTTGCTATTGGTGTGATGTTTTACTTTTATGAAATTCTGAGGTCTGCAACATGCTTCCAATCAATAATTGATCAGTTTCTGCATTACCTTGTGCTAGAGGACCTGGCAGATCCATATGGGATTGGATGTGTATAATGTCTATAGGACAAAACCTATTTTTGATTATGTCTTGCACCTGGATAAACAATTAAGTCAGTTCTGTGTCATCTGGTATAAATTCAGTGGTTTCAATATGCAAGATAACTCTTTCTGCATATTGTGAATCAGTAACAATATTAAGAGGTTCTTTAAAATCCCTTAGCACCATGAGAATGGCATATAATTCTGCCATTATAAGGGCTTTGTTCCACCTTATTTAATTCTTCTGTTTTGTAACCTGCCTTTTCTGATTTATTTGCATCAGTATAAAATGTATGGGCTCCAGTTATTTGAATATCACATACATTCAGGAAGAATCCAATAATTTCTTTTTATAATGTTAAGTCTATTGCTTTTGAGACAATTACTATTAATTTCTTCAAAAAAATTGCCATGGTTCATTGTCTTCCCATAACTTTTTTATTTCATCAGTACTGAAAAGCACTATAATCTCTGTTGGGTCTATACCTGCTAGTTGACAAAGTCTCAATTTACCTTTTATAATTAATTCGGAGACATTTTCCACATAAGTTTTTTTAATTTTTCACTTGGTTTATGTGATAAAAAGATACATTCTATGATAATATTGTCCCTCTGCATTAAAATTCCTGTAGAAGAAATTTTGGAAGGCACTATGACTAGAATACAATTAAGATTTGGATTCATCCTATCCACATGCGCTTCCTGTAATTTTTCCTCCACAATTGTCAATTCCTTCTCTGCTTCAGCTGTTAATTCTCTGGGACTATTCAAATCTTTATCACCATCTAAGGCTTTGTTTAAATGAATTATTAGATCAGATGTTATCCCAACAGTAGGTCATAGACTGGAAATGTCTCCCAACATTCTTTGAAAATCATTAAGAGTCCTCAGCCAGTCTCTTCTAATTTAAACTTTCTGTGTCCTAATTTTCTGCAAACCTATTTTATAGCCTAGGTAATTGACAGAATCTCCTCTCTGTATTTTTTCAGGAAGAATTTGCAATCCCCATTTTGGCAAAATTTCCTTCACTTCTTCAAATATTCTGTCTAAAGTATCCATGTTTGAATCAGAATGTAAAATGTCATCCACATAATAGTAAATTATAGATTTAGGAGATTGCTTATGTATTATTTCCAAAGGCTGACTCACAAAGTATTGAGTTTGTTGAGATATTGAGCATCCCCTGTGGAAGGAAAATCCACTGATATCTCCTAGTAGAATGAGAATTATTATAAGTAGGCACTGTGAAGGCAATTTTTTCTCTATACTTTTTCTTGTAAAAGTAGTGAAGAAATAATCTTTCAAATC